GACAAACACACACTGTCTGAGAGTTGCTTTGCAATTAGAAATTACGTTGAAATAAACATGAGTTTTAATTTAATGCATCCTGAAAGTGTTTGGTCCAGAAAAAGTTTAAATTGTCTAAATGAGACATTAAATTACATAAAATATGTCCACATCTGAACTAGTTTTTAACCTTGTATGGAGGTTCCCTGAACGTCTATTGGACTTACAGAACACGTATAATCTGATCAAATTGTAATTGAATCTATTCTGAAGTTTGTCTTACCTGGATGTGAAGCTCGAAGACCCCAGGTAACAAAAGTGCTTGGGTATCTAAAGACCAGGAAAATGTTAGATGTTAGAAAAAAATCAGTTGTAAACTTCTTTAGGTAATAGGTTAGAAATAGTTTAAAAATCTAGACCAAAAATCTGTCATTAATTGACAATGCAGCATTAAAATATCGTGGATCAAATCTCTAAAATCAGACAGACTACTAAACATACATCTCTACAGTCTAATCTGTGCATCTGCTTTAGTAATGCAAAAGTATAATAACATAATCTCTGAGTTCTGTCAAAGACACACAACACACAAAACAAAGTGTTGTCCATAAAACACCACATCTTACTTTCCCTTATTTGCCCGCACAACTATTGCCTGAAGGCTCGAATTTGCGACCGTTTCGATCGCATATGATCCCGAAATTTAATCTGTGCAATCTAAAAATATAACCGAGGGCATTTGTGCAACTAATTATTACATACGTAACTTGTATGTGTTTTTAAACACTGCTGCTGTTTGTCTGCCGATCGACCACACTGTGCAGCCATCTTAGCTTACCATGTGTGCAGGATAGCTAGCTATACAATTTGCAAACCTAAACTCAGCTCCCTAGTGGAGTAAGCGATTTTGCGTGACTTTAGTTTACATCACCAGTCATTCGGCTAAATTTGCTCAACTTACCGTGTTAATCAGACCCTGAAATTCAGATCTGCTGCAGCGACCAAACAGTTGAAGTACCGAGGAAGATATTGCATCTGCCTGCAGTCCCCGCCAGTGAAAAAGGGATAATGCCAACTTATAAAATTTAAAATATTTACGTTTGATGAACACACCTGTCACATCGACAGCTGCTCAAATAAATTGTGCATTGTCAACTCACTTTTATAACATTTATTGTACACAACAACCACATACAAATAACTACCCAAATAAATTGCATGGGTTTTATTTAAAATATATTGTTATATAAAAACTGATATATTTTAAGTAAAGAGGAAGTATTTTGATACTCTTTTTGTATAAAACCAATAAAATAAACTAGATTACAAATATTTAAAATATATAAAACCTACTTTGTGGGTGTAGCACTTTTTACAGTAGCCTATTACAAGAGGCTAAATGTCATAAAATGTATATAAATCACTTCTAGATTTTCAAGCAACAAAAACTGGATTTTGATGCTACAGGTAAGGCTTATTAATATTATTTTTGATATACATAAATATATTACATTAATTAGCTCTGGCAGGATGATGAATATTATTAAAAAGGCTAAATATTGGTGTATTTCATTGTTGTTTTACATAAATGTTTGTAAATTTAAATATATAAATTCTTGTTAATGTACAGAGTATCAGACAGGAGATCCGCTTCGCATTCTTTTGGTTGGAAAAACCGGAGTGGGGAAAAGTGCAACAGGCAACACTATACTGGGACAAAAGTTTTTTGAATCAGAGATATCCTCCTCCTCTGTGACTGGGCATTGTGAAAAGTTTCATGCTTTAATAAATGGCAGAAACGTGTCTGTCATTGACTCTCCGGGTCTGTTTGACACCACCCTAACTACAGATGAGGTCATTGACAGAATTAAACTCTGTATTCCACTCTCTGCTCCTGGTCCCCATGTCTTCTTAGTTGTGATTCAGCTGGGCAGATTCACAGATGAAGAGGCAAAAACTGTTAAAATCATTCAAGCAGTTTTTGGTGAGGAATCCTCCACTTACACCATGGCACTGTTCACTCATGGAGATCGATTGGAGGACAAGAACATTCACAGATTTGTGCGGGACAGCCCAAAACTACTCAGTTTCATCAAAACTTGCAGTGGACGATACCACGTGTTCAACAATAAAGAACAAAATCCTGAACAGGTCATTCAGTTGCTTGACCAGATTGATAAAATGGTCACTGGAAATGGTGGACAGCATTACACCAGTGAGATGCTTGAAAGGGCAGAGAGAACGATTGAGAAAGAGAAACAACGTATCCTGAAGGAGAAAGAGGAGCAGAGACGGAGGGAAATACAAGCTCTGAGGGCTCAACTTGAGGACGAGGCCTATGAAAAAGCATTAAAAAAGTTAAACAATTAATCTGACTTGCTGGCAAGAGACCAAGCTGAAATAGACCTTCCATTCTTATTGCTTTAATCAAAGCACTGGCACTTAGAATAAGCAAATTATTATTTTGAACATCTTCTGATGTGATCCACATGAAAACTGTTAAGTACTGAACAAAACTTAAAGGGGTCATATAATGCCATTTTCATACAAGTTAATTTGATTCTTTAGGGTCTAAATGAAAAGTTTGTAATATACTTTAATTAAAAATTTCTCGTTAGTATTGTAAGAAAACACTAATTTACCTGGTCAAAAACAGCTCTGTTTTCAGCACGCCGTTTCAGTGCATATGCCTTTAAATGATAATGAGCTTCACTCACTCCGCCCCTCTGTTCTGCGGGCGTTTAGACACAACGCACGTGGAGTGTTGCCTTGACAACAGTTGAGGGTATATTTTGGAGAAAGAATGGCAGCGGGAGTCTCTGAGGACACATCTGTGCAATCGTATCAGTTTGAACCGGAGTCGGACCCGGAACAAGATGACGGCGGCAAAGAAGTTCGACAATTAAGGCTCGAACAGGATGTTTCTGAATGGTTGGTTAACATAATGTCACTTTGATCTATCTTTGTATGTACTGGCAGGGTAACGTTACAGTAACTTAGTGAGATGTACAAACGCTATGTGTTTACTGATGTATACGTACTCAGTTTGTAATGACACATAACCATAACGCGTTGTTCATTATAAACGTGGGATTATGAATTATATCGAGAACGTTGTATAGAAAACATGCCGTAATGTAACGTTACCCTGAGTGTAAACCTCAGCCGCATTCATCGTGAAGCGTGCAAGCGATTTGCAAAGATTAATATAAAGGTTAATACAATTTTACACTCACTTCTTCTGGAGGTGCAGCAGGGACACGAATAGTTGGTACCGATTCTTTTTTCAGGAGCAGCTTCTTGGCAAAACCAGCTTTATACTGACCCTCGTTTATAAAGCAGTCTGGTGAGAAATAATTCGCGAATCGCACAAACATGAAAACATTGACGTTGCTCATGGGGAATATTCCCTTCGAAAACAAAACTCAGCCACTGTGTCTTTAGCGGTTCGGATTTAGGAACATCAAAATGACTGCTGTGTTCGTTATTACACCCAAGAACAGAACAGCACAATCGCCTAGACGCCATTCTGCTCCAGTGTATCAACAATGACGGACTGATGACAGCTCGCTCACGCTCAGGGCGCGGATGTGTTGAAACGCTGCTGTCAATCAACAATCGTGGGAGGGGCGTCCGTTTTAGTGACGTCACACGGTCGAACGGCTCGATTTGAGACTGGGGAAAACATATAAGGAGATTAAAACAAAAACACTGTATAGATTTTTAGCATTATATGATGGTTGTGTACAGGCACTGCCAACACACATTTCAGTACTATCAACTTGAAAAAGTGCATGTACCATTATATGACCCCTTTAAGTACAGAAGGTATTTAAAATCTCATGATTTATAGTTAATTTTTAAAGTTTGCAAAGTTTTAATAAATAGAACTAAAGAACGTGTGTTCACTGTACATTCCGGTAAATGTGATATATGAAAGTTTAATATGAAATGTTTGATGAATGTGTCTTTCTGTATTATAACTTGTTCATAAATTAAAAATTGTAGCTATTATGAGATCTTTTTGTATGTGAGAAATATGCAGATCCTTTATCCACTTTGTGTCTATATATGTGTCTACTATATCCCTCTCTATATATACCTTATTTTACATTTTTGTTTACATTTTCTATGTATAATGTTGTACAAAGAATGTTTAAACTATATGCGTCACAGGCTGGTTGCAGCAGAGATGAAAAAGAGAGCAGGATGCGCAGAAGACTTTATTAATAACTAAATCAAAATAACAAAACTTATCTGGTTTCTCAGGACTTCAAAAACGTGAACAGAACAACCAGCAAACAATAACAGACAACTAAACAGAACCACACTGAGCAAACAAAGGCACTAGACACACCTGAGCAGTATATTAAATCAATCAGTAACTATGGTGACAAACAGGCAGGAAATGGAGGATGACAGAAGTAATAATCAAACTAAAAAACTAACCAGAAACTCACCATGCGTCCCAATGTCCAAACTATCCATCCTAAATAGTATGTTAGATTAAAATAACTGCGTCCCAAAGCATAGTAGCCTATGTTGAAAAGTGTATGTAAAAAGTCCCCGGAGAAGTCTACTATTTCCGGTGGATTTTCAAAGTGTGGACAGAGATTGTCTTATTATAGGGAGATGAGAGGGTCTGTATATCTTACTATTGGAGAAAGCGTAACTGGTAATTTGGATCACTTGAGGCAGCTCAGCCTATTGTGTAATGGCAGTGAAAATGGCAATCATTTTATTGTACACCGTAATAAGTCTTTGTATCATGAAAACTGGTTTAAATATAATCTTTTTTTTTTACTGGATATGATGGACAGTTATTATGGTAATATTCTGATTTCAGGGTGTAACTGAAGCTCCACCCATTACTTCTAGCGATGGGGAGCTGGACGTCAAGCTCCACCCATGAGCAGCTGCTTGACAGATCTTACAGTGGCGTCTTGTCTCCTGTAGATGGTGGTCTACACTAACCCTTCCGGTGAAGCAAGACTTCAAGTTTTGAGTAAACGAAACTGTCCTTTTGACAGGAAAGAAAAACGAAACCCATCTACCATCACGATGTGCTCTACATTTAAAAGTAAGTAACTTAATTTTTGCATTCATTAAAGAGAAAGTTTTACACTAACTTAATTTTAGAAAATTAATAAAATAATGATGCCTAATTTCGCTGGTACTTGTGACTAGTGACAATAAAGGCTACTACTACTACTACTACTACTAAAGTTGTTGCTTAATGAGAATCAAGTGTTTTGCGTGATTTAAAGAGATAGAGAAATGTGTTCGAAATCGCCCACATACCCTTCTCCTCCACTATTACCTAAATTAGTCTACTTCATAAGGAAAAACAAGCCTCATAAGTATAAATACCGGTATGTTATGTAATTCATATCAAGGAGGTTTGAATTTGCTTGATTTTGTTACTTCTAATACAGTTGAACTGGATTAAACATATTAAGCATAAAGATATCGGTATAACTCCAAATCTTATTTTTGAAAAAGTCGGTGGTGCAGACTTCCTTTTAAAATGTGACTTAGGCTACACGTATGCCCTTTTCTGTTATTTTTTCTTTCTTCTTCCTCTTTAATATGTGAATATTGTTTTCTTTAATATGAATGTTATCCTTAACCTTCACCATATACAATACCTGATTTAAAAAATGGTATTAATATTTTATGATGCTATGAAATTTTTTAGAGCATTATATGTGAAACCTTTGTATTTTTTCGCAATTTTACATGTATGTTTTGTTGGAAATATACATTAAAAAAACTTGAAATGTGTTTAAATGGAACACCATAAGCCCTTGATCACTTGGAATCTGCTATGGAGCCGATTTCTTATTTATACCCCCATCACAGACAAGGCTAGTCCCAGACGTTAGGATACTTTATTGGTACCCGAAGGACGGTAAACTAGTTTTACAGTCTGAGAGGCAGGGCATCTTTAAAACTTTGTTGACCACAACATAGCATGCAACATACAAAACATTAAAACATATAAAAACAGGTAGTAATATAAAAAAAGGAGGAACAGAAAACAGTACATGACATGCTTATGCGTTTTGTGCAAATGCATGTTTGAGCTGTTTTAACTAAAAGCAACTTGCACTGGCATATCTTAAAATATGTCAGTGCCATTGTTTTGTCTCAAGATGCACACCATTAATGTTTATTTTCTAAGGTATGTTTATAAAAGATACTTAAATGTCCTAATTGAACTAAGGCCTAATCCTGGTTTAGTTTTAGCCCTGTCTGTGAAACCAGGCCTTAGTTTTTTTTTCCTTATAATTTTTGTTTTACGCACTATTCTAGGCCTGTATGTATGCTTGGGCTGTTAAAAAATTTAATATGAACAAATATTAAATATGAATATATTAATAGTCGGTATTTATATTAAATATAAAAATATAAAAAACACAAATGAAAATGATAATACAACAAATTACAACTGTGTTAAAAACAGTCAGCTTAAGGTAGCTACAAGTATTAAATGCAGTTAAATGTCAAAACTCCAATGTGATAACTCCAGTATCATACACACAGTTGTAAATTAAGCACGACCTTTCGTGTTGCATTGTGGTCTATGCATCTTTGAATGGACTAAACGGACTTCAGCTAAACAATGACACTATTATATTTTTGCAGTGTTTCGTCAGCAGAACAATCCAAAAATACATTAAAGAACAGTACAATCCACTAAAGAAATGTATGTCTATCCCTCACAGCCTCACTTTCATTCCTGTAAAAAATCAAAGATGGCACGTCTGTGAAAGGTGCATTCATGCCATATTGAAAATAACCGTAACCTTGTGTTTTCAACTTGCAAAAAGCATTCACTCACGTCTTTGTAGAGCTCATAATTACAGCTTGTAAGATGGGACTTTTCTAAAAGCTCCTACTTGTACCACGTGACCACTACCACCTGACATCTGCAGATTCATTTAAGCATTGATAGTGTCACCATAGAAATGCATAATTCTCAGTCTGAGGACGTGAACAGCTCCGAATAGAATGTCACGTGTTGTCATCTCGAGTCTACTGTAATTACGACAGGGCGTGAACGCAGTGTAGAGTGGTGCAGGTATGACTTAAAGGGATACTCCACCCAAAAATGAAAATTCTGTCATCATTTACTCACCCTCAAGTTGTTGCAAACCTGTATGAGTTTCTTTCTTCTGCTGAACACAAAGGAAGATATTTTGAAGAACGATTGGAACCAAACAGTTGTTTGTCACCATTGACTTCCATAGTAGAAAAAAAAAAATACTATGAAAGTCAATGGTGCCCCACAACTGTTTTGGTTCCAAATATCTTCCTTTGTGTTCAGCAGAAGAAAGAAACTCATACAGGTTTGCAACTTGAGGGTGAGTAAATGATGACAGAATTTTTATTTTTGGGTGGAGTATCCCTTTAAATTTGTAGGCCCAAATGCAGAAATGAGTCAGCATTTTACCACTTCCGGTTCCATCGTCCAGAAGTCAATGGGTTTTGGTTAAATGGCTGAAATAAGTTCTGTGGAGAACACAAGCTCAAGATACTTTCACATTTTATTCTAAAATACATCAGTATTAACCCAGTGCTGAATTTTTACGTGTCTTGAAAAAGGTGGTTGCTAACAAGTGACTAACGTTAAATGGGACTACAGAGCTAGGCTGTTGAGGAGATTAAACGTCATCAGCCGAACAGGTAAAGTTTTACAGCCTCGTTATGCTTAGAATTGTACTCTTATAAACTATTCTTAGTTTCTAACTCAAATGTTCTGGGAAATTCTGAAAGAGATGTCGGAAGCTGAGCGATGGTGACGTTGAAGTCTTAGGACCGCGGTGTAGTTCGTTTATAGCCTACCTTTAGCTTTTTATATCTGGCAACTGTTTCATAAAATTTGTGTTCATCTTTGAAAATGATCTTGATGGACAAAACGTGTAAGTATCATAAACCTTTGTTGAACATAGAGCTTGTTTTTTTGCGAAAATCCAAAAGCCTATGGAAAAATCCTATTGGGTTTTTGTCGAGGGAACCAGTGTGATGCTGACTGCCGGTTTGCCTACAACGTGACGTCATACCTGCACCACTCTATTAGCTTCACATGATGGAATGTTACCATGACAACGCTAGGTAGACAACAGGAATATCTTGTAATTGCTGTAGAGGCTATATAGTTTAATATGAATATTTCTTAATTCCGCAGTTTTTGTCATCCTTCATTCAAAATAAATAATTAATTTATTAGTAATATCCATTTCTGTAATCCCAGGTTGCTGTAGTTATGCAGGTTTGTTTACACATTAAACTTGTGGCCACGTAAAAAATATGTCAGTCCCTCAAAATAGGATCTCGAGGACACGACTTGACATGACCACAACATAAGGATGTCGTTACCTCGATCTTTTGGGCACGATAAAACTAAATGAACTGAACATGTCCCCTCCCTGTCACCGTAGATTAGCCTTGTTCATGATTGATTATCATACATATAATCATCTTTTATCATTTTGATGTTTTGTATGTATAGTAAAAACAACAGCTTTTTTCATGACTTTCTTTATAGCTGTGCAGGACATTTCTCGTCGACCATCAACAACGACGACCTCAAAGTCTTGGATCTCATCTTTCTCCACAATACTGGCGGTTTCTATGATTGTTGCAGCTATTGCAATAGGGGTATGCTTAAATGTATGTGTTTTTTTTTTTTTAGCTGATTATCTTTTTAACATGTATAAGCAGTGTTGGGGGTAACGCATTATAAGTAACATGAGTTATGTAATCAGATTTTTTTATTTATTTTCAAGTAATAAATAGAGTAACGCATTACTTTTACAATAGAATATCTTGAGTTACTTTTTCAAATAAGTAACGGAAGTTACTTTGTTTTCCTATTGACTGACACCTCTCCTGTCCTAGCCTGGGAAAACCCAGACTTCCGGCAAATTTAGATTTGCTCTGAAAGTTTGTCTGGCAAAGAGCTCATTCAAGCCCATTTCCAATCCGTCGAAATCGAGGCACCAATCAGAAACGTTGGGGCGGGCTTTACACGATGACGACAGCGCTGGGATTTTGAAGCAGATTTTGTAGCCTACATTACAAAGATGGATGCCGCCGTCGAACATCACTCGTTCGAATCAGCTATCGCGTCTGTTTTAAGCGATTTGAACGTTTCCTTTTTGTTAAAAACCGAGCAAAGAACAACACTCGGAGATGTTTCTGCCGCTGTCTGCATACGTCATCTCCTTCATCGCTCTGATTGGTTTTAGGTCTATCCGCGACGTCCGTTGGTGACGCCCCTCTGGAAATGATTTGTCTATGACGCTTTGCCAGACCATAACTCAGTTACAACTGAGAATGGTCTGGTTTTAACCAGGCTACTCCTGTCCCCATGTTGAGAGAAATCAGGAGTGAGTTGAATGGTTTGTTTGAGCTATGCCCTCTACTGTACTGGCGTTAATTTGCATTTCCTTCTGCCTGAGACTTATTCATTTCACTTATGGTGTGAAAGTGCCTTTGCATTTGCCAAAATAGAACTTTAGTTTTTTTTTTTGTTATTAAAAAAACAAACAAGCAAACCTAGCCCATGAGAACAAGTAACATAAAAGTAACGTACTGCATTACTTTCCAAAGCAAGTAATACAATTAGCAATCTTTTTTAGTTAAAAATGCAATATTGTAACACATTTTTATAGTAACTTTCCCCAACACTGTGTACAAGTGGCCAAATATCATAAATGTATAATATTATATACATCTCTTCTAGATCTTCAAGCAACAAAAACAAGATTTTGATGATGGTATTTATTATCTTTTTGATATACATATATATTTCAACATAAGCTCTGTCAGGATGATAAATAGTATTCAAAAGGTTTAATATAGGTGTATTTCATTGTATCTTTTAAATAAATGTTAGTAATTTTTTTATATATTAGCAAGAGTTTGAAAAAATTATATTATTCTTGTTAATGTACAGTGTATCAGACAGGCGAACCGCTCCGGATTCTTCTGGTTGGAAAAACAGGAGTGGGGAAAAGTGCAACTGGCAACACTATACTGGGACAAAAGCTTTTTGAATCAGAGATATCCTCCTCCTCTGTGACTGGGCATTGTGAAAAGTTTCATGCAACTATAAATGGCAGAAAAGTATCTGTCATTGACTCTCCGGGTCTGTTTGACACCAGCCTAACTACAGCTGAGGTGGTCAACAGAATTAAACTCTGTATTCCACTCTCTGCTCCTGGTCCACATGTCTTCTTAGTTGTGATTCAGCTGGGCAGATTCACAGATGAAGAGGCAAAAACTGTTAAAATCATTCAAGCAGTTTTTGGTGAGGAATCCTCCACATACACCATGGCACTGTTCACTCATGGAGATCGATTGGAGGACAAGAACATTCACAGATTTGTGCGGGACAGTCCAGAACTGCTCAGATTCATCAGAACTTGCAGTGGACGATACCACGTGTTCAACAATAAAGAACAAAATCCTGAACAGGTCATTCAGTTGCTTGACCAGATTGATAAAATGGTCACTGGAAATGGTGGACAGCATTACACCAGTGAGATGCTTGAAAGGGTAGAGAGAGCGATTGAGAAAGAGAAACAACGTATCCTGAAGGAGGGAGAGGAGCAGAGACGGAGGGAAATTCAAGCTCTGAGGGCTGAACTTGAGGACGAGGCCTATGAAAAAGCATTAAAAAAGTTAAACAATGAATATGAGCAGCGTGCAAGATACCAAGCTGAGATAGACCTTCCATTCATAATCAATGTGGTTACTTCTTTGATTAAAGCATTAAGCAAGTTCTTCTTTTGATCACCTTTCGAAATGACCCACACGGAAAAATGACCACATGTTACTTAAATAGGCATTTGAAACCTCACCATTTAAAGTTTGTATTTAAAGTTAAGTTTAAAAAGTTATTAATAAATAGAACTAAAGCACATTTACACTGTACATTCTGGTGATAGAACATTTGAAAGTTTAATAATATGAAAGTATGGAAATATGAAGTTGAATGTGAAATGTTTGATAAATATGTCTCTGTTATAAACTTGCTTATAAATGAAGCATTTGTGTTGCATATAAATTGTGGCTTCTTGAGATCTCTCTTCTGTTTTCATATGTGAGAAATATGCATTGTGAGATTGTTTATCCACTGTATATTCATACAGTATAAACCTCTTAAACTTATGTTTAGCTATTGTATGATATTGTTATGCAAAGAATGTTTCTCTTCAAGAAATATTAAATATATAATTTGACAAAAATTCAATTGGCAATAAACATAACATTTCTCAAGAGCAATTTTTGAAGGGGACACAAATAATATAGCCAAAATTGTACTTGTAAGGAAATGTGTGGCGTTTTGGTGCACTGAAAAATGATCTTATGTCCTTTTTTCTTTTCTCTGTCATTTTATCTGACCAACTACACCAAGCAATAGTTGTTTAAATATGAGTTAGGTTTACCATGCGGTAATATTATATTTATTAAATTATCTTGCTTCTTCCACATAGTATTTTTGGTTTTGTCTGGGACAGAGGACGTCTCTTACTGCAGCAAGCCCCACTGATCTGCCAGACTGCACTTAACATCATATTGAGCAAAACCCAACACAGTGGTAGATCTACAATATTACCCTAATATTAGTTCACACAAAGGCTTATCGTCATGTTAGTTGTAGTGGGTGACTTGCAACAAGCTACCAAACAATAATCGCTAAAATATCGAACTCATGGAAATTTACATCGGTTATCATAATTTGTTTGTCATGACTAATTCATTAATAACACAGCATCATCTGTATTAAAGAAAAAATAATCACTTCATCTGCTGTTTAAGGTGAATAAAAGTGCCTTAAAGGCCCACTGAAGTGCCTTGGAACCATAGACTGTAAAAACACAACTTGGAACACGCAGCTTTGTTTGATGCGAATTTCCACTGAAACAGGAAGCTAAGGCGGGACATATTGAATGGCCCCTCCCACTTTTCAAATATCCAATAGTGTTTAGTTTAAGTTAAGTTGGATTCAATAGTAGAGGTGTGAATAAATTCTAGCCATTTCATTCTTAACCAATGTACAGTTGGAAACGGAATAAAACTCGAGTGTTTGAGCAACCGAACACACATCTCCAACTCATATTGCTTCATGACGTGTCAACGGTCGCTTTGGCCAGGTGATATTTATAGCATAGGGGGCGGGACGGTTTAGATTCTAGAGAGCATTTTATTGGATAGAAGCAGTGATGTCATAAAAATCTGTGATCCATTTTAGCGGAAGTGAGAGACTGTAAGTTTTGAATGCTTATATCTCCTAAATGCGAATTTTGTCATTCTTTTAAAACACACCAGCTTATTCATAACCTTAAGGTTACCATAGTCATACTAACTAAAACAAAAAAAACTTAAATTTTGATTTCAGGGGGCCTTTAACAGTCTACTTACTGGAGTTCCACAATTGCTGAAGAACTTTTCTTATCCTTTATTTAACCAGGTGAAAACTCATTGAGATTAAAAATCTCTTTTACAAGAGAGACAAGATGCAGCAAAAAAACAAAAACATAAAGGACAAATTTCAACATAAAAAACAAATAAAAACACATCAAATACACATACATATATATCACAAAGACCCTGTGCTGATAAAATAATTAATACAATTTTATGAACAATTGCACTGACTAATGTTCTTCAGAGTTGAAACAAACTATCTATAAGAAATAAAAGTATTCATTTTTAACGATTTCTGAAGAAGGTTCCAGGCAGAAGGTGCTGCAAACATAAAGGCTTTTTTTTGCCTGATTCTGTTTTGACACCGGGGATCAACAAGTGTAATACATCATTTGAATGCAATCCATAATGGCTGTGATTTCTTGTTAAAAGGACACTTAAATAGGAGCTAGTCCAAGAAGTACCTTGTAAATGAAACATAGCCAGTGAGTGTACCTTCTTGCATAAAGAGAGGGCCATTTAGCTGTATAATAAAGGATACAATGATGTGTCCTATAACCACAACCAGTGAAAAAACGTAATGCACAATGATACACAACATCCAGTTTCTTCAAACATTGGGCAGAAGCATTCATATATATCAGATCACCATAGTCTAATATGGCAAGAAAAGTGGCCACCAGATATTTTCTAGCGCGGATGGATAAGGATGATTTTGATCTGTAAAGATAGCCAAGCTTTATCTTTAGCTTAGAAACCAGATTGCTAACATGATTTCTAAAACATAGTTTAGAATCAATGATTATACCCAAATATGTATAACTGTTAACTAACTCAATTTCATTTCCTTCAAAAGTTGAAATACTTGCAGAAGAAACTGGAAGTTGTTTTGAGTTTGTAAATACCATTTTTTTTTTTACTTTTGTACATTTAAGACAAGCTTAAGCTGTTTTAAACGTTCCTGAACAATATTGAATGCAGACTGCAAAAGTTCAAGGGCTTGTGCTGTAGATGATGCAGTACAGTAAATAACAGTATCATCAGCATAATAGTGATACATAGAATTCGATAGATTTTCACAAAGTTTGTTTATATAAATTGAAAATAATATGGGACCTAATACTGAGCCTTGAGGAACCCCCTTGTAAATAGGCAAGAATGCAGACACAGAACCAGCTACCTGAACACTTTGGGTTCTGACAAATAATTTGCAAACCAATCTACCAAATGCTTAGACAAGCCAATGCCCACTAGACTATTCACAAGAATGCAGTGATCAACCGTATCAAACGCCTTTGAAAGATCTATAAAGAGCGCAGCACATATTTTCCTATTATCCAATGCCCCAGCAATATCATTTATCACCTTTAATGTTGCGGATATGGTGCTATGTTGCTTCCTAAACCCTGATTGAAAAGGTGATAAGATAGCATTTATGTTTAAAAATTCCTTTAGCTGCTCACCAATCAGACTCTCAAGGAGTTTAGCTAAAGTACACAGCTTCGAAATAGGCCTATAGTTATTTAAAAGAGATGGATCACCCCCTTTTAGTAATGGTGTAACATGGGCTGACTTCCATACTTTAGGGATGTCGTTTTCGACAATTGTTAAGTTAAAAATATATGATAAAGGCTCCGCACAAAGTCAGCTGCTAATTTTAGAAAGAAAGGATCTAAATTGTCAGGACCAGCAGACTTTTTTGTGTCTAATTCCTGAAGGGCTTTATGGACTTTATTAATTGATAAAGGAGAAATATAAAATAGTTTTTCTGAAGGTAAACACGGGTCAGAAGGGTTCTCCTGTACGCAGGAACCAGAAGAAGTAGGACATAAGGATTCAAATAGGGATCCTGAAGAAATAAAATGCTCATTAAAGCAAGCTAACATTTTTTGTTTATCAGTCACCTTGCCTGAATCAGTCATAAGATGAGGAGGTAGTTCACTACTGCTAATATTTCCAAAAGAGGCTTTAATAATTTTCCAGAACTTGCTTGGATTTTCATTTACGAAATACTCTGATTTTGACTTTTTAATGAGAGATGTAAACCTATTTCTCATTTTCCGAAAATAAACCCAGTCCGTATCACTCTTTGATTTCCTGGCCCTTGACCAGGCAGCATTCCTATCTTTGAGAAGGCATGAAATCTCAGGAGAAAACCAGGGATTATTTCGGCCTTTGACTCTACGTACTATGATCCTTAGAAAACCATCATAAAAATAATTCCAGGCCAATTCTACTTTATCTTTAAGATAGATTTTGTTCCAATCAAAATGAAACAGATCATGTAGAAAGGCTTGTTCACAGAAATGCTTCATATCCCTTTTAAAAATAATCCGTGGCCTCTGTTTCGGGATTTTAGCATTCCTGCCGCAATTATACAATGATCTCTCAGGTCATTTGCAAACACACCTATATCTGAGAATTTGTGTGGAGTATTGGTTAAAAAACAAGGTTGAGGTTTGGACGAGTTGGACTATCAATCAACTGAGTAAGATTAAAAGAGTCACAGACAGATTTAAAACTATCTGAAATAGAGGTCAACCAATCCAAATTAAAATCCCCGGCTAAGAGTACGGTACCTCTCCAAATTCAAAACTCGATAGATGATGATTTAAAGAGCAAAGAGCCTCATTACTTGCTGAGGGCGGTCTATAGCAACCTATGACCGTCAATGTTTGCCCCAAAGTATACTCCATTTTTATGGCTAAAAGCTCTAGTTGCTTATTAATGGATACTGAATACACAATATTACAAGGAAAACGATTTTTTATATAAATGGCGATGCCACCACCCTTCCTAGGGCGGTCACAACGATAGACATTGTAGCCCTTAATTTCTATAGCCTATCCAAAATAGATTTACTAAGCCATGTTTCTGATATTATAATAATATCAGCATCTGTTGAGTGAACCCAAATTTGTATAAAATCGAGTTTGAGGAGAAGACTTCGGACATTAATATGAATAAATCCTAGTCCGGTTCTAGTTTTGAATTTTTCTGGAGTAGCCTATTTAAATCATTTGGCACTGGACCAGGATTTGGATGAACATTACCAGAAAGTATAAGAAGGAGAACAACTATACATTTTATTTTTATATTATAACCAGGCAATACTATTTTTCTATAAGAACAGCAGTCTAAAAACTTTTAAACCAATCATGTAGACTAAATAACTGAACTAGATCAGATAAACATAAAGTTCTGTAGTCACCAATAGTCTGTGGATTCCAGTTGAATTTGATGTCCATAGAGCCATAATCCCAGATGGTGCCCAAATATTTTTGGGAATGTAGGGAGAACTCATCATATTCATCGTTTCTGCAGATCACCTCACTGGTAATACATAGTTCCCACAGGCCAATTAATGTCACGTGACCTCCCCGAAGCCGCCATCTTTGAGGGCAAGGCTGCTGTGTTTACAAAGATTTTCCAGAGAATGTCGTTT